GTTACGAAATATTTATCAAAATTGTATTACAAAAGTCATTATTGAGGAAAAAAGCTGCGGAAGAGTTGAAACGCGAACAGGAGAGGAAGGCTGAGGAAAGGCGCAAAATTATCGGTCAGAGGACTGGTAGCAAAAAACCAACAGAAGGCGCAAATGAGGGTATATTTCATAGTTTTAATTGATTTTTATGTAATATATCCGAACTTTATATTCATTTTTACTCTTATCGCTCATACAATCGTTTAAATAATTTGCAAAAGTTATATTTAATTACATTAAAATCTGGGGTTTAATTATTTAAATACTTAATAATTTATGTAATTATATAGTTTACATCAAAAATATTATATTTTATTCGCAAATCTCTTAACTCAGCATAATATGGATTAATCATAATTATAGAAAACCTTTAAATACTTTCTCACATGATATGAGATTAGAGCAGGAATTTTAACATAACATTAAATACTTAATTATAAGACAAAAATTACCAACAATTTTAAGCCTCTCTTCAGACAGACATTCAAAGAATTATAGAAAAAAATATATTTTGAATATTATTTGAATAAAACAAGTTTTGAAATGATTTTAATGGAGTGAATAATATTAATGATATTATATTTTCAGCCGCTTTGCAACAAATATGTAAAGAATATTACGACAGAATCGCAAAACTCGAGAATTTGAAGTATGATCTCGAATACGCTGTCATACAAAAGGATTTCGTTGTATGTCTTCATGTCTTACAACACTTTCTTAGACTTTCAAATTGAAAATGTTTTTCACATTAATGTAAATCATTGTTAATTACAAAATAGGTTAACGAATTATCCATTGAAGTGAACGATTTGAGAGGAAAATTGTGAGTTATTTATAATGTTTTGTTTGTTTCAAATAATCATTTAATGAATTTCTTATCATTCAGTGTTAAACCAGCGCTAAAGAAAGTCTCGAAATACGATCAAAAGTATGCATTTATCTAAACGTTGTGTGAATTGATTACATTTGGATAAATGACCGAAAATGTTGTATCCATTAATTTTGCGTCCATTAGATTAGAAAGGATGGCAAAAGTGGCGGCGAAAGCGGAGTCAGACTTTCGCAACAATTTGAAGAGAGTTCAGTCCCAGAAGTTCACGTTAGCCGACGACGAGAAACAAGTAAATACAATATATAATAACATTTTCAATATAATTAGTGAATTGGATTTTTCTACAAGCACTAAGTTTTTGTGATCATTTTGTGTCTCTTTTTGTGATTTAGATTTTGATGTTTTTTTTGTGTTTTGTTTTGTTTTTTGTATCCTATTTTGCAAATAACATTTCACTATTTATTTCTTTTTTATGGTTTCTTATAATTAGTCAATGAATGCGATTATAAGAAGCAATGAATTCTGATTTTGTGAAGTTTTCAGTTATTTGAATAACGATTTACTTCTGACTATAGCTTACAACTAAATCACAGCCGGAATGGGCTAAGAAAGGCGCAGAGGTCGCCCAAACTGAATAACTATCACATTTATGGCCAAACAATAAACATTTCAATTATTATAAAAATACACTATTAAATTGATTGCCATTTATTATGAATTATGATTATTATTGTTATTATCTCGACGTGTTTTTGTCGCACTTTATATCAATTTAGAAAAGAAAATACAAAACAAAACCACTTTGTGTTGATTTTAATCGCTATATTCCTCTGAAACAAAAACAAATTGCATTTCTTTTAAGAAGTTCTGCTTTTCAATCACTGTTTGTCGAAATATATAAAAAATATATATTTAAAATATATATAATTATTTAAAATCTATGAACGAATCAATTATACTATATTTCTACCAATCATTTAATTCAAGATTCTTGAAGCAAGAAATAAATTGTTGAATTTATTTTACCATTTGCTTTATATGTGTTTTTTCATGTTATTAAATGTCTTGTTTTGTTAAATCCATTCCAAGAATTTTGAGTTAAGTATAATTTTAAGACTTTTTTGCTACCAATTTAACCAATGTTAAATAATTAACATAGTTTGTCTTAGATCTGAGCGCATGTTGTGTTCATAATCATTAAATTACATTTACATGTTAACTATTATTTACTTAACTTTTAATAGTTATATACAATAATAATATCCATAATATAATGTTTATTATAATCCAATATAATATATAACTATATTAACGTTAATGTATTTTATAGATTCTGTTAGATTTGTGTTAATATTTATAATAGTATTATTAATTGATATAAACATATATAAGACATAATATGAATTGATGGCACCTATTGTTGTATAGACTCGTCCGGATTGGGCTCTCGGAAAGAAAGGCACAGAAAAGGCTGAGACAGAGACCGAAGAGGTTGAACTCGAAGACTAAATGCCTGACTATATATTGTAGTCAATTATTATTATAATTACGAAACAAATGCAATACTATTTTGTGTCTTATTGTCATTTTATGCCTGAATATAAATTGTGGACAAATATTTAATTTTGCTGTCATTTTGAAAATTATAAAAAACAAAGAATTGTTATGTAATTTGCATTATATGTTAAATAAAGAATGAATTTTACAAAAAAAAGGCCATTTGTTAGTTACTTGTAATTCAATTAACGTTTCTAATTATTGTTAGAAACATAATGTAAATTGAAAATAAGAAATTGTTAATTAATGAAAACGTGAATCCAATTAATGTATTTCTTATTTAACTTCATTCACGAGTTTTGATGTTTTTGTGAGCATTTTTAGTCTTTCTTTTGCCAATTGTTTTGTTAATTGTTGTTTTTCTGAGAATAAATTCTTACGTTTGTTATATGTTTTCCATACTTTTCTTTTACAAAATTCTTGTCATTAAATGTTTTTGTCTGTTATTCTTGTCTTCAGTGATGCCGTCATTGCAAT